CAGCAGCATCAGAAGCTGAACATTGCACTTGTAAGGATTCAGTCACAAAAACAAGACAAAGATTTGACTATTCACAGCCCACAGTCTGTTGCCCACAGATTTGGAAGACTAGAATGGGGCTACCTTCTGTTTTGTTTCTCAGTGAAGCCTGGAGAAGAGAAGGCTGCGTGGAGACCTCATAGCAGCCTTCCAGTATCTGAAGGGGGCCTATAGGGATGCTGGGAATAGACTCTTCATTAGGGACTGTAGTGATAGGACAAGGGGTAATGGGTTCAAACTTAAACAGGGGAAGTTTAGATTGGATAGAAGGAGGAAATTCTTTCCTGTTAGGGTGGTGAGGCACTGGAATGGGTTGCCCAAGGAGGTTGTGAATGCTCCATCCCTGGCAGTGTTCAAGGCCAGGTTGGACGAGGCCTTGGGTGAAATGGTTTACAGCGAGGTGTCCCTGCCCATGGCAGGGTGGTTGGAACTTGATGATCTTAAGGTCCTTTCCAACCCTAACTATTCTATGATTCTATGATTAGTGTTCAGAACACTGAAATGCAGACAGTAACTTTTCTGTCATTCTATTAGGGAGAAATAATCACTTGTGACAGTCTGTAGTTAGCAATTTATGAATTTGGGACTTTTAAGATGCAGTTTAATGCATCTCTCACTTCACAACCAGCACATACAGAAGGATGTAACTGCATCCCAAAGTTGTGTTTATGTGTAAACATTCACAGTCTTTGGTTCAAAGAAACAACAGAACCTCTTTGCAGGGTCCAAGGTAATCAAAACATCCACATAATCATATCTATCAAAATGATTGTGCTACTTGTAAAGAAAGATTGTCCTTTCAGGCATTCTAAATCAGCAAGTACATTTGTTTTGAGGTATCATCATTTAAGTACCTTCCCTGGAAAAAAATCTCCAGACTTACAGGAGGAAATGAGATGTAGACAGTAATTGTGTTAAACTGTCTGTCTACAGTTGATGGATCAATGTCACTTCAGTTAACATTTTTCTTCCTTTGTGCTCTACCTCCAAATAATTGACTTATTTTTACAGCTTGACTTGTGTGTATTTTACATATTTCAGCATCTGACATTTATCATTTTCTTGATTCAAAAGGTTTTTACCTCTTCTGTTTTCCTAAGATTCCTCAGCTAAGAATTGTTTTACTCATATCTCCTGCCCTTATTAGGGACACCTCCTGTGATTGAATCCTTTTCTGATCAAATTAATATCTGTTCAACTTCTTCAGCATGATTTTTAAGTATCTTAAAATAGGCCAGCTGGATCCTCTAAGCAGTGCTGCTACCTATTTATTTAGAATAGTAAACCCCTAGCAAAATATTTTTGAGCATTTTGATTTAATCTAAACCAAGCAAGATAATTTACAAAACAATCTCTGGAGGTGCATAAGCAAAACTTGATAATCATAACCACAGCAGCCTCCAAAACTCCAGTACAAATATTTGCACTTCTGTCACAGCCACTTATCTGATCTGTGCCAAATGCTGACAGATTTTAAAGACAATCACATTAAGTATTAATCAAGCTTGAAAGATAGAGCTGAGTAACAGCATACTAAAGAGACATCCATCTCCAAAGACAACAACACACTCCAAATACTCAGCCTTCTGTTGCCCTGAAAAATGTTTAAATCTCTTTCCATCTCATGCTGTTTCCTTGAATCTTTTCACATCTCTTTCTGATGTATTTTCCCAAAGCTTCAAATAACCTACCCTTGTGAAATGATTAAATACATAGAATAGGGCTTCTCTCTCAATGGTTTCACTTCACTTAATAAGAACAGGAGCAGAATAAACCAGCCGGATGTGTTTCATTTAAACATTTCTCTGCCCCTGTGTGCAACACTGATCACATTTCCACCTACATATTCTCTTTCTCCCATAACAGCATACATCTTTTTTGCTTGAGCTTCTCTTTTCCCTATTTAACTTTGTGGGGTGTCTTTCCATAGCATCTATTAGACTGGGGACAACTGTATATAAGCTTTACTGCTACACAAACTCTTCTTCAAGTCCCTGTTTAATATTTTTTCCATGATGCCTTCCCACATCATTTCCAGTGATTTCACCCCAACTCACATTGCATCTGTAATATTGTCCTTCTTCTAAGACTGGTCCTATTTGCAAAGCAATCAGCAGGTGCTACCTTATTCCATCACCAGGTGTATTATCTCAATTACTGAGTCTGTTCCTCTCTAGCAGCTTGTTACCAAAGACTGCACTAGTGGCAGCCCTCCGTGCTGCTCCCTCAGGCTCTGTCTGGGCCTGTATCCCACAAAGATCAGTTGCCAGTATCCATTCTGACAGACTTTGGCCTGCTTGAATGCCTTCACAATGTAGAATGGCTCTTCTGCTTTGCAAATGCTGAGGTTTGAGTGCATTGCCATGCTTTTTGCTATCATTTCCCCACAGCTGACTGAATGTCCAGATGCTATTTCCCTTGAGGCGTCATAGTCATTGAAAGATGTCACAAGGCACTAGTTAGGATTTTGTATGGGTGTAAGTGGAATACAATTGAGTCAGGAGACAAAATGCATGATAAAGCTTGATTATGGAAAAAGCTCAAACTTGCTGCTGTTGTAAAAACACCTTTCCTCATTCTTGGGTTCACACAGTCTCAGTTTCATGTTGTCTGTAGGCAATGAACAGGTCCTGGCAGCTTCCAGAGAACACTTCCTTGGCCACACAGGGCACAGGTAGGGGAATTCATTCTGTGTATTTGTCCATCGTGACGCATTCTGACAAAACACATTTGGACAGGCCCCAGTCATTCACTATCAGGGCTTTATACAAAGGAAGATGTATAAATCAACTAGTGGGGCCTCTCCAGCCAGAGTTCTCTAGAAGCCCCTGGTTTAACTATGCAAACGTGCTAATAGCATTTGGTATAAAACTATACCCAACCTGATCAAAAAAGAGAAGTCACTCAATGTGCTTCTGGACTGTCCTTGAAATCAAGGTGTGAATGCTATCAGTACAAGCATTTCAGTCGGGGCAGGATGCAGACAGAGATGCCTTCCTGAGATACTCCAAGAGAACCTATTTCCATCTTATCCAGCTTTCTAGATGTACTTTGGGTCCTGGTCCAAAAAGCCCTCCTTTGCTGTGAAAGACTGGCACAGCTGATTAACTGAATCATAAGCAGAAGCTGGGTTTTGCTTCTGAAATATTACTGTGCCATCCTTGGGTGATTCAATCTGTTCTGATTTGTATTTATGCATGTACCAGACTCCGGTCTGAGTATAAAATTTCCTCTATATGAGCCCATTCTCCATCTTGTCACTCAGCAAGGTGTCGACCTTGCAGATGTCATGGGTGAGAGCACAGAGGGAGGAGCAGATGGGCAAAGGATGGATGGGATTGAGCACTATGAAAGAGCAGCCATGTGTCAGAAGAAATGATTCCTAGCCAAAGACCAGCTCCTGTTTGTATTTTTTCTACCTATGCCCCTGTGTGTCTGTGCAGATCTTCTGATGTCTGTTCAGAAGCAGGCAGCTGGCTGGTAACCTTCCCCAGCTGGTGGTAGAAGGGAGCCAAATCTGCAGACAGGGATTGCCTAAGGAAAAAACAGCATCAGATGCAAGCCAGTGAGCTACAGGGAGAGCATGGGTGCTACAGCTCTGCTGGCATGCTCGTGTGGTTGACTTATTATTTGTGGCTTGTACAATGGCATGTGTGGGGAATTGCTGGGCATGTTGTGCAGCTATATTGGCAGAAGTCTTGTGGAACAGATTAACTGAACAGGGACTGTGCTGTGTGGGGCACTTCTGAAGGGGGATAATTCAGACTGCCCTGTAATTAGAGGCTTGGCCAAATCTGACATTCTGGACTTCTGTCTCTGATACTCTTCATCTAATCCCAATAGTGGTATGTAATGTATTGTATGAAGTGAATAAGGCTGCCTGTCCCACTGATTTCATTAGGTTTATTATGGAATTAAATTATGTCTAGACATGCAAAGTAAGCCCTTTGTTATATATTTATTACAGTTCTTACAAATCCTTAAAGTAATGTATAAACTATCATATACACAGTTCTTAATTCTATACTGCGCAGAGGACAGATGGTTGGGAATTCTAGTACCTGGGAAGGAAAAGAGAGACTGATAGCCTGAGAAAGTTGGGGCTGTTCAGCCTGGAGAAGAGAAGGCTGCGTGGAGGCCTCAGAGCAGCCTTCCAGTATCTGAAGGGGGCCTATAGGGATGCTGGGGAGGGACTCTTCATTAGGGACTGTAGTGATAGGACAAGGGGGAATGGGTTCAAACTTTAAAAGGGGAAGTTTAGATTGGATATAAGGAGGAAATTCTTTTCTGTGAGGGTGGTGAGGCACTGGAATGGGTTGCCCAGGGAGGCTGTGAATGCTCCATCCCTGACAGTGTTCAAGGCCAGGTTGGACGAGGCCTTGGGTGATATGGTTTAGTGTGAGGTGTCCCTGCCCATGGCAGGGGGTTTGGAACTTGGTGATCTTAAGGTCCTTTCCAACCCGAACTATTCTATGATTCTATGACTATTCTCTACACCAGTAGCTTGGATGTTGAAAGCTCAAGCTAGCAATAGGTGCACTGGGTTATCACACAAAGTATGTATGCTGAGAACATAAAGAAGTTACTGTGGGTGGGCTACTACATGCATGTATTTAGCCATCCTGATGCTGTCGTCTTACCTGTGCTCCTGTGCTGTATTTCAGTGGTGCCATTTTGCTGTTGGGATGAATATATGTAAATCTCAGGGACAAAATATCAATACCTGTTATCTGATGAGATGGTTGTATCACAACGGTCAGCACTGTTGAACACTTTCCACCATAACACTTAATGATCAATTTGCATTAGACTTAAAGCTTTGTTTTAGTCTCTGGAATGGGGAATGTTGCAACTGATTTCTAAGAATAAGATTTGTTGGGAAGAACCAGTTTTACTTGTGGCAGTGCTTTTCAGAAAGACTTGCTCAAATCTGTCTGTTTTATTGTGCTTTCTCCAGGACTGCCTATTCATGTACCCTTTTGCTGTCCATTTTTCATGGTTGGTTCATAGAGGATAACAGCCTATTAAATCTGACCCCAGCAGAATTGTTCAAAAAGTGGTCCCTTCAGACCCTCAAAGGCAATAAGTCCTGTTCTGGTTCTAGTAAGAATCAATACTACTTTCTAGCAGAGTATGATTTTTCTACACTAGAAGCATACCTGATTGTAAAGCCAGCATAATTATATTTTTCCTGTTACCAGAGCTGAGTTAATAATAGGCTTATTGTGGAATTATGATCCACAGGAAACATTTTCTACTGCTGTTTCATATGAAAAAGCATAAAGGCAGTATTCAAATTACTAAAAATCAAGAGAAGGTTCTTTAAAATAGGAACGTGAGTCACTGCTAGTTTGTTTTAATGAAATTAGAAGGCTTTTAAATTTCACTTTAGTCTTCCCAAGAGAGAAAATGAGAAAAGTTAGTCTAAGAATAAATAGATTTTTAAAGATATAATTACAGCAGAACTCACCACACTCCCTCTCATACATAATTTGGGCAAGATCAGTATTTGCTTTAATTCCCACCACCAAAGTAATTGCTCCATTTGACAAGGTCAGTTAAAAATAATTTAATAATACTGTCCCCTATTAGACTGGGGAAATTGCACATGTAACAGCGCCTTGAAAGGATTCACCAGTGTTTCTCAGTCTGTTTCAGATGGTACATCCTAATTATAGTCCAGCCTACAAATTTATCAGCTTTAATATATTTGATAGGTAAGTCAATAGAGAGAGAAAATGTTAAAGATTGAATCTTAGATACTTGAAGCTCACTTCAATCATTTTTGGATCTGTTCCTAAATCTAATTTTCTTTTAAATCCAGGAATTCTTGTTTAGTTGCTACCTAACCCTGTGAAACCTACAGTTCTTTAGGAGCTTCCCCGTTAGAATGGGGAAGCTTTTGAGCTCTCTAGGGACTTGAAGCTGTGTCTGTCCATGCAGAGATAGTCTGTGATCTGAGTGCCTTTTATTTTTTTGCAAGCCTTGCTGAGAACTGAAAAATTATAGAATAACAGAATGGTTTGGGTTGGAAAGGACCTTAAGATCATCCAGTTCCAACCCCCTGCCATGGGCAGGGACACCTCACACTAAACCATGTCAACCAAGGCTTTGTCCAACTTGGCCTTGAACACTGCCAGGGATGGAGCATTCACAACCTCCCTGGGCAACCCATTCCAGTGCCTCACCACCCTAACAGGACAGAATTTCCTCCTTATATCTAATCTAAACTTCCCCTGTTTAAGTTTGAACCCATTACCCCTTGTCCTATCACTACAGTCCATAACGAAGAGTCCCTCCCCAGCATCCCTATAGGCCCCCTTCAGACACTGGAAGGCTGCTATGTGGTCTCCACGCAGCCTTCTCTTCTCCAAGCTGAACAGCCCCAACTTTCTCAGCCTATCTTCATATGAGAGGTGCTCCAGTCCCCTGATCATCCTCATGTCTTCCTGTGGACTTGTTCCAACAGTTCCATGTCTTTTTTGTGTTGAGGAGGAATGTATCTGCAGTGGACCCAATGCACCAGGCCTGATCTTCTCCCTTACATCAGGGAGTCTAAACCCATGACTTCGGAAAGTGCCCTACCCGTTGTACTAAAGACTCTTGATGGGGCTGAAGGCAGGCTGTACCACCTGATCTAGTGGAAGATGTCCCTGACTGTGGCAGGGGGTTTCAACTGAGTGAGCTTGAAGGTCCCTTCCAACCCAAACCATTCTACGATGAATACTTGATAATCTTGAATTCTGTTATGTTTTGTGACATCTGCCCAAAAGCATGGTGGCAGCACTACTACCATGAGTAGCTAAGAGTCTGCTGATCAATTGGTGCATCAGGAGATAGGACACGTGGATTTTAACCCCTTCAAAACAAAACCTTTGTACCTGCCAACTCCTGCTGATTGTCAGGCTATTGCATGAGGTGCAGCTGCCATCTCCTTCTTCATTTGATAGATCTTAGGAGATAGCAAGCCATGGTTACAAAATGTACTTGCCATGAGTCTTCTCACAGTACAACAGCTGTAGTTGGAACATTTACTGTAATTAGGCAGAGAAAGACCTAGTTTCCTTTCCCTTAATTGGCCATAGTTGTGTGCTAGGCAGCAGGTTGATCAGTTCTGTGTGCAAGCTACCAGCAAGACTAAAGCTGAGCCAGACAAAGAAGTTGCCATTAACTGTGCTCATCACTGCACGTTCCTCTTGCTCATGGCAATTCCTTACTCAATCTAGTTGCCAATGACCTATTCGCTTCTCAACCTAGTTCTGCAAAAATGATCCTCATTAATTACTATTAAAATATACACTTCTAATAGTAAAGGATTATAAAATATACACTTCTAATAGTAAAGGATTATCATAGTCCCCTTTGCTCTGCCAGAACTAGGTTAAGGAGCCAATCACATATACATGTCTGTGAAGCCAGAGGCACCAGGGAGTTTAATGCCTTTGGTACTAAGTGACAGCTTTCACTGGTGGATTGTTTTTTAACATAAGTAAAGTTTTACATAAAATCATAAGTTAAGTCTTACAATTTAAGCGTATAATGGGGTTTACAGCTTTTTTAAAAGATAAGCAATAATGTGGCTAATTACTTAACTCCATTCCTACAGCAGGGCAATTACTGGGCACTGCATTTGTAGCTTACAAATGGACACAAGAAGAGTGTGCCTTTAATCTACTGATTCTAAGATACTAAATACAAGGAAACAATGTGCACTCTTTAACTGGTCAACATGTCAGCAGGCTAAGTGGTTGTGAATTGCAGTACCTGGACAGGCCAGGCTGGATGGGACTTTGAGCAACCTGGTCTAGTGGAAGGTGTCCCTGCCCAGGCAGGGGGCTGGAACTGGATGAGCTTTAAGGTGTTTCCAACCCAAACTTAGAGTAAGATGATGCTTAAACTTCCTTAAGCATCTCAGTGTTTTTGTTTTCAGAGAGATGCTCTCCCCCCCTCCTCCTCAGGTAAAAATTGCACATAGTGATCAATTGAAGGAAGGACATTTTCCATTTAGTTTTTATTGGGGTGATCTGGCTCAAGGGGAGACATCCAACAGAAAGTGATTATTTCAGTTATGTGCCTTTATGATCTGATGGAAGCTCCTGTGTTTCAGTTTGTGCCCATGGCCTCTTGTCCTGTCACCGGGGTCCACTGAAAGGAGCCTGGCTCCATCCTCTTTGCACCTTCCTTTCAGCTAAACAGCTGAACACATTGACAAGACTTCCCTGAAGCCTTCTGTCCTCTACACTAAACAGCCCCAGCTCTCTCAGGTTTGCCTCATATGAGAGATACTGTAGTGCCTTAACCTTTAAAATGAAAGAACATGTGTTTTAATGTGACTGGGTTTGCTCTGTCTCACCTACTGTTCTCATACTTCATTTCAATGGCATTTTCTAAAACTTTGTTAGCAGCGTGATCAAGCTCCCTGTTATATCACAAAACATCAACACAAGGTGGGGCTGTAACACATGCGCTGAGGTTCCTCATGGAGCCTCTCCTGGACAAATGTATTATAATCAATTCCACAAATGGGCAGCAGATGTCAGCTCTCCAGCTCTGATTAAAAGAAGCTTCTTAAAATTCTATCTTGCTTCAGAGATTGCCTACACTTCTATTAGTGCTTTCCTGAACCAATCATTTAATTTTGTTTTCCTGAGTATCATCAGGAAGAAAATTCATAATGGTGCGATATCAGCCATGGGTCTTATTTCTTTACAAGCAAGGAACAGCTGCTCTAGGAGAAAGCTATCAGCAATACAGAGATGAATGTTGTGCAATGGGAAAGATGCATAAACAAAGGCATAGTTGCAGGAGAGGCATGAAAGAGGGCTCACAACTGGGAGTAGAAAGTTTGGGTGCTGTTCCAGTAGGTCATTAGCTGATTGATAAGATCCAAATCATTCTTCTTTGCTTTAGCTTCTATAAAGAGGAAATAGTGGTATTTATTTTGTAGAGCTTTTCATGATCTACGTGTAAATGCTTAAGACTTAATGTTTATTTCATTTTTTAAAAATTAAATAGGCCTTGTGATTCATCAGAAACACATGTTTAAGAACACGGGATAATGTAGCCAAACAGGAACACATTTTATTATGTGCAGATCAAAGCAGCTGTCTCCCCCTTCCCTTACCCCCTCCACACATCCTCCCATTCCTCAATATGGAAAGGAATCACAAGACACATAATCTGAGCTTGTCTCTGTTTCAGTTAGTCATCAATAAGATCTGCAGCTACATGAACTTAAGTTTTCCTAGGAAAAGCATCTGGAAATTATTCTTATCCCACTTGCCCTGACTATTCCAGGGAGAAAAGAAGAATAAAGGCTTTCCAATCGTCATATAATAAAACCACCTCTTAAGGAAAATAATGGGAATACAATTGTGGGAAGCACCTAAAGTTAGACTCATCATAATAGTTACATTATAATAAGAGAGAAAAATTGTGCTTTGATTGTTAGGCAGAGTTGGATTAAGAAGCCTTATGACTGTCAGATATTGATGGTCTATAGTATTCACCTGGAACTGTGATGACAAGCATCTGTTGTACCTCAGAAGTACTATTCAAGAAAGCAATGAAGCTGACTGAACAATTACTTCCAGTCAATAGTTATCACATTGGCTTTTACATTGTCAGTAAAAACAAGTGTTTTCATCATCGGTCCTCTATGGATAACTTTAAATCGCTCTGTAAGAACACAGAAAGAGTGGCACAGGCAGGAACAGAACTTTGAGATCTTAGTTTGGATTTCTCTTGATAGACTGTTGCATCCTATACATGCATACTGTATATATAGAAGTCTGTTGCTGAGCTGACAAAGTTAAAGGAGCTGTATACAGGCTTATTTACATAGGGGATTATGGGGTTTTTGTCTATGAGTGTTGTACAACGGAGAAATGTTACTTTGTATAATAAATCCCCTGAAGTTTGTGCTCTTTCTATCTAAATCCAAACTGAATAGAGTATAAGAAATAATAATTATGTCCCCTTTCAGTCACTGCCTTAATCCTCCCTTTAAAAAGTGAGCAATTACATGTCACAGTGGAATCCCGTGGCAGGAATACACAGAGTTCGTGTCAGCCAAAGAGTGTGGCT